TAATAAAATAATATATTATTAATAAAGAGATTAAGTATTTAAAATAATATATAATAGCTTTAATTAATAAAAAATACTAATATAAATAGCCTTACTTCTTTATATACTTATATATTAAAAAGGGGGCAGTATAGAGGTTATGTATTAATAGGTATACCAGGCCTGGTACAGGTATTGGCTCCCTAAATAATAGCGCATCTTACTTGTCTGGCCAAGGTAAAGGTTATCTAATGCCGGGAAAAGTCGCTTTGGCCCGTAAAGTATAAATTCTATAGCCAAACGTTAAACAATAGCGCCCGCTCTTCCTTAGCCGAAAGAAGGAGAACTAGGTGTTAATTAACTCGCGCTATATTCTACCCCCCTGCTAAGAGTTATCTCATTCTGGAAAGAACGGCCTTGGCCCGATGCACCCTAAAAGCTTATTTGAACTTACAGTAGATAGAGCATCCCGCTCCGACGGCTAAGGTGGGGGTTATCTAATGCTAGAAAGAACGGCTTTGGCCCGGTGCACCCTAAAAGCTTGTTCGACTCGGCGCTTGGGTAAGTAAAGCAGCTATTGGTGGGTTGTATTATTCCCTGACATGGTAGTGACCTCTGCCAAAGCCAGTTATGAGCCGCGTTAGTGAGTGTTGTGTAACCGTGTAATTATCCTCAACCTCGGCCTCATCCAACCATTCCTTCTTTCAACGGGCGCAACTCCACATGGCCCTAGATGCTTACACTTTTTTAGATGCTAAATAGGATTAGCGTGGTAAGTAGGACACTGCCGTCTAAGCACTGACTCTGCCATGTCTGCTGATGATAACCTTATTAATTCCGTATATATCTCGCCAAGGCGGATCAAGGTTACACTGGAGTTCGGTTTCCAAATACGGAGTAACGTCCTACATATTGCCTTCTCAAAAGGCCACGTAAGCTTGCAGCGACTGAAACTCATCTGGTTTGCAAGTATCCGAGTTTCGATAACCCTGGGACTAGATTTGAAAGCTATCTACGTAAGTTTGGCTTATGGCCATCGTAATCTCCAGCGCTTCGACACAGAAGCATATCGGGCGGACTCCTCCTCCAATCACCATCCTTATCGGTAGTATATTCCATAGTTTCCAGTGTTGTAACCTTGACACCATTACCGTGCCCATTTCATCATCCCCGGGTCCTCTGCATCCTCCTCAACATACTTGCACTGCTTGAATGTAGTCCAAAGTTGCCTGAGAAAAGACCTGTTGTCTTGTCGATAGAGATCACCAAGCAGTGGTTTGATCGACTCTGTAGCTTCATCGCAATGATAAAACGGGATGCGTCTGTAAGGTCAGTTATCTGAGATTGCAATTATGTAGGCGAGACTCACGGAAACAAATGGTGGACCACGTGGCGGTCAATAATGCCATGGAAAAAAACACGTCCAATAAACCCAAAGTCCCGGTCTATGGTAGCCAAAGCGCCTTTCGTAAATGTCCAGCCGTTTGCGGTGTAGTGAGGAACATCTTCGTGCGTATGGTGCAAAAAGGTAATAGCAACTAATTGTCCTAATCAGCCCTAGATGAAGATATGGGTTTACCGTGTGTTGCATACTCAGCCAATGATGAACCCAAAGATAGGGCTGTCCGTATAATAGCATCAGATTGCCCATACCATGTTTGGCCGAGAAGGTATAGAGCACTGCGATAGTGAGGCCAAGGCCGATATCTGATAAGACAATGTACAAGGCTTCACTATGACGGAAGACGGCACTGTAGGCGTCAAAGTGACTCTGACGCAGTATGCCCTCCGAAGGCTTTTGGAGGCTCTTCTTACCGGCAGATATGTTGAAGCAAAGATACATAGGCCATGCGAGTAACTGGTGAAGAAGAAGTCGAATGAACTGTATGACGGGGATGTCTTCCCATTGATCAGGGTCCACAAACGCCACTCGTAGCCTATCAAAGTAGTCAACGCGAGTCTTGGGCACAAACGCCATATCCTTATCCATATGACCGGTAAACATATGGTGGCGCGAATGAGAGAACTTCCAAGAAAAGTATGGAACAAGTAAAACAGAATGGGCTACCCAGCCCACGAAGTCATTGAACCAGTCAGATGAAGAAAATGCTCCATGTCCAGCTTCATGAGCTAGGATCCAGAGTCCAGTGAGAACACAGCCTTGAGAGAAACCGTAGATAATCCAAGCGCCACCTCTCAAGACAGGGCTTGGCAGAATGGGGATGAAACTAAAGGCTAGCCAGGCGAGACTGGAAGCAAGGGCCACGTCTCGCAGCAAGTAGCCCATGGACTTAACGGTGGAAGGAGTGAAACAATAGGCTGGAATGGCACTCCGGAGAGTACTGATATCAGGCACTGGATGTCCAGAGATAGCCTTTTCTCGCGGCTCCTGTCGAGTGGAGTAAGTTATCATCAGTCATATCATAGTAGGAGCCATCTTGGAATCATTACTTACAACCTTCTGTTTGCCATTGGTAAGGAGCTGCTTCTCGTCGTAGCTCATTGTGGCAAGTGTTTCAAAGGTTAGAAGACAATGTGTCGTGAACTAGCTTGGCAATTTGTGTGTAGTTGTAGGGCTCAATGTTAATATGACTGTGGTTGTCTCCAAGACTTGACCTTATCAGGACGACGGGAACGTTATATATGAGAACTGGGCAGAGTTAAACCTAACTTTCGTGGTGAAATGGCAAGATTGGGTGCTGAGATTCCCCTTGTCTGACCAACGTCAAAATCATCCCGCAGTGTTCCTGTCCAATACCCCCAACAAAGGCCGAATACGATTCCAAGTAAACTGACATTTGGATTCTGACTCAGGAAAGTATATTCGGAGAGTATCAGAACATCAACGGGCCGACGGAACAGGGTACCCTGGCACGATTGGACTTTCTACAACCACGTCATTTTCATGGCCCACTCTTGCGTCTACTCGTTTGTGCCGGCAGTTGTTGTAAATGAATTCAGAAATCATCGGAATACGTCCGAATTATACAGGGTGAGCCGCGGCACAGCAGCTCTTTTATCATCACCTTATCATTGTGTCTTCTGATTCACTGTCAAACGGTGGGGGTACCTATACTGCATTAGAGTGATATAAGACGCTCTGTCACTCACCCATTGTTTAATACCTCACCAAAAACTTCACAAAGCACAATCTACTATTTACATCTCATCAAATACTATACTTTCCTCCCCATAGCCCTCACTATGGAAAATCTCACTTCCCTAAACTTTCCAGCTACTTTCACTTCCTTATTTACCACCAAGAGTGTCGCTCTTATACCCCTCTTGCTCATATCATTCATTATAGCCCAGTTTACCTGGAGTGCCTTCAAAGCCTCTAGATCTCCTCTGGCAGCTATCCCTGGGCCTTGGTATGCATTTCTCACTACTATCCACTTGAAATATGGGTTCGCTACTGGAAAGATTTGGAAGTTGGTGGAGCGAAGCCACAAAAAGTACGGTCCTATTGTCCGCCTTGGACCCCGGCAGGTATGGATCTCGGATAAAGAAGCTATGAAGCAAATCCTTTCCAAGATCGATCTTCCAAAGGTAGCTATGTATGCCGAGATCTCGCGGGACAGGTTTAGTCCCGGATTATTCGGTGAAATGTAAGTTTCCCAACCCATAGTGATCGTCAGATTCATGGAGCTCATGGATCTTGCCTTGTTTTCAGCCGCCCAGTACCTCACAAGAGACTCAAGAAGTTCCTTTCTCCAGCCTTTACTGTTGGCTACATCGACAATCTTGAATCTTTCTTTGGAGGAACCATCCGAGATCTTCTCAACAAATATGATACTTCTCTCTCCAAGAGCCCACAAGGCAACAAGATTCTGGTCGACCTCATGGACGATCTCCATAACGTTGCGTTAGATATGTAAGTCTCGTATACAACCAGTCCAAGTCATACACTAATATGTAATCCAAAAGAATGGGCGAGTGCTCATTCGGTCGCGGCTTCGGACAAACCAACCCAGCAGCAGAAATCGAACAGGGGATAAGAGAGAAAGTCTGGAAACGGATTCCCAGGTCTATTTTTGACGGACTCAGCAAACGTTATCAGGTCAGACACTTCCTTACAACTGCCAAGTGAGCCACGACATGTTTGACTAATATCGTGATTCAGTCCGTCTATATCAAAAGGTTCTTCAGGGCCTGTGGTATTAATATCGAATTTGACTGGCCCAAGGAGATGATCATGGTAAGCAAGTTACTTCGCGAAGCCCTTGCCCGCAGGGTGAGACTCGCCGAGAGTGATGAACAACATTTTTGACCAAACAATGCAGGCCATCGATGCAGTTGTACAGAGACGTCGTACAACCGATGATTCTGACCGGAAGGATCTACTCCAGCATCTTATTGACGAGGGAAAAAAGCCCGACACTTTGACGACTATGAACACTCGTGACATTGTGGATCAAATGTCCGAAATTCTTCTAGCAGGCTCCGAGACTACCTCTGGAACAACTGCTTGTTTGTTCCTCGAACTAGCCCGCAGCCCGGACAAACGGGCCAAGCTCCTTGATTCATTGCCTGTCTTGGATATTGGTGATGAGATAATCAGTGGCAAGGCAGTTCGGAACGACCCCAAGTACCGATATCTGAACGCTTGCATCAAGGAAGCTCTCCGTATGCATCCGATCGCCTCCGAAATGGGCCGTCGTACAGGCGACCAGTGGGTTCGGCTTATGGGATACAACTTGCCGCCCCATACGGTTGTCTCTGCGTCATATCGCGACCTGCACCGTAATGAAGAGTACTTCCCAAAGGCTATGACCTTTCTGCCCGAACGATTCTTGGAGGAATCCGAAAGAGGAGACGTACCAGCCGCTGAGTAAGAGACTTTCCTGCAGAGAAATGTTGCCACCGAACTACGTGACTGACTAAAGGACCTGCAAACAGTATGGACGCTTATTTTCCATTTTCGGCCGGGAAGCATTCTTGCATTGGTATCAAGTAAGTCTTTGAAGCACCGATCATAATAGAGCGGCAATGTATACTAACCGCTTGAAGCTTTGCTTGGGCCGAGATGAGGATGATTGCTGCAAACATCTTCTCCAGGTTTGATGTCATCGAAGTATCTGGTCAGGATATAGACTTCAGGCAGTTCATTACCATGCAGTTTGCATCGGGACACTGGAAGGCTGTTCTTATCCCAAGGAAGAAAGCCTCTACTATCGACCAACCTGAGTAAGAGGCATGTGGAGGTTGTCTAGGGCGACAACAAGCATGCTATACCAAGGATTGCTTACAACACAATCAATTTCATGCTTTTGGTCATATCGGCCTTTGGCTGTAGCAATTGGTTAGTCATTATAGTATGATGTCTAAGTTATTAGCCAGATGTGTTATTTGCAGTTGAGACTTGTGGTTGAGAGCTTAGGTCAGCAGACAGAACTTAGTTAGCAGACAGAATTTAGCTCGCTTTTGGTCTCGACACTAGTGCCTTTCATTATCCCTCTTGTGAAATTTCATCCGGCTGAACTGTCCAAGCTATGTTAGTGCTTAAACGTCTCAATGCGAATATTATGGTTAGGATAGAGCTAGTATTTACTAGCTAAGCTATATCATCTATGTGCTTTTACTATAGTACAGATATAGGTATAAATATACGAGTGAGGATTTTTATAATTCTGAGAAAAGATAGGAAAACAAGGGAAATAAGGGAAATGAAAAAATACTCGCTGGCTGAGCACAGCCTACTCGAATGCTAGCAAATGCGACCGGATGATCTCCATGTCGATTGGATAAGCGCAAGCGGAATTTCTGCCGGCCTGCGTGGAGATGTATGACCTGAGGAATGGCACGATCTTTAAGTTTGCGTGAGATATACGACATGGTGCTGCGTACTATGTGGTAGCCTTTGTTTATGGTGTGGGTATTGTGGTTTTTAGCGTTGCTCGAATTCAGATAAGCTTTTAAAGCGGATTATCCCGGATGGATATACGCGATATTGCCTAGGATGGCGATATTATTAGTCGGGACGGCCCGGATGATGTAGAGAACCCTAGTGGTTATCACGAACCGTACGAAATAGACGCCGAAGTACTCCGTACAAGCCCGAGATCAGACCGAGCCCGAAGATAGCTCTGCCATGCCCTGCGGGGTCTTTTTACCGCAATCTTTAGCTCTGGACTGATGTGAGTAATGGTAGGAAACAATTCCCCCCTTTGGAAAATTCTTAGCAGTATGCTTACCTTAGACTAGTTGGAGCGAAAAATGCTCCAACCGTCACTTACTTGCTCCCGCGATCAACTCGGCGACGGTGGAATAGCCTCCCCTGCTCCTACGAGTGATTGCTTGCTACTGTAGTAGCGCCCTCCCTATACGCCGTAGGAGCCCTACACTTCAGCTGTTCCTACGACCAGTTACCCCCTCTTGTGATGTGTTATAGCGCCCTTAGTGGAGGACGTGCCCTGTACTTTAGCTCCTCATCCGAATGCCTGTCAGGGGCACAACACTCTGGTTGGTCGGATGAAACACACTGCCTGATTTAGTGAGCGCCGCCACCGAAAACCTGGAAAGGCTGGGCTCGTTGAACCAGGGTTGAGATGCTCGCTGTGACCCATCTGCGCTTTTGTACAATAACTGATTATTTGCCCCAGGCTGAGCCAAGGACGATACATACATACGGACGACCCCTACATCTATGCTGTTTCTATGACTTGGTAGGTCGGAGTAACTTGAAAGGGTTCTGAGGAGGAGCTTCCATTGCTCATTGGAATCAAATGAACGAGATAGGTAGAAGGCCGTGGCGGCTTCATTTCATCAATGTTGTACTTGCTACCAAGGCCGGTGCTGCATATATTTATATCCCCAACACCATTTACTAATCAAATATCGGCCAGTTTAACCATTGGATCAATGCAGCCTGCAACAGCGTCATTTGACTGGGCGCCCAAAGACATCCATCTGCTATAGTCTCCCAATCCCCTCTACCGTTACAAATTTACCAATTAAGCACATAAAATCCCATTCGCTCTATGACACTAAAGTCCGGCTTCAGAGCAGAGAAGATATACGACGGCTGGCTGGTGATCTTATCGCCCTCGCTTTCCTGCTCATCGAACATGACGACGTTTTCCAGGCGTCCAGTACAACCTTTTGCAACAAGTTCCTTTGTGACGCCGTTGACTCGAAGGTCAATGACATCTTTTTCTTCATTCAGGAACCAGTCCGTCATCTTCAGCAGTTCCTAGTGATGGCAGGCTCTGTCGATCGGACAGCCACTGGCATTTTGATGACGAAGAATGAAGCATCGGTGCATGAGAGCATTCATGACTTGCCAGATGAAGTTACGAGCGAATGGCCGTCTGAGCGGCTGAGGTCTGTTGACCAGGGCGACTTTTGCGTCCAGGTACGGAGGGTCTTCTGATGCATGATCCCCGGAACAGACCAAGATAGTGGCTTTGCTAGGAATGTGCGCCATGATGTGAGTGCTGCGTTGGTTGAACGGGGAAAAGAGTTTGTAGACAAATAGAATTTCTAGAGGGAGGGGGGCACTCTGTCATCTTTGCTTGTCGTAACAGTTAGGTCTGTTGTGTCCCCCGTGGCTTTGGACTAATTGTGTCTTGGGCGCAAGGCTTCAATTATGCGTGTAGTAGTGAAGGTTCAGAATTGTTGCAGGGGAAGATTGGTTTCTAAAGCACATCAACCATCTTTTGAGGCGAAAAGCCCTTTAGTATTCGAAGTGTTGCACATGAACTTCCTTCCTAATGGTTCTCATTCATACTGTCTGTTTACTGCACAGTGAATAAAGGTAGAATCAGACAATATGATTGAACCAAGAGGCAATTGCACTGTGTCAGAGCTGAATATCACTGAGGAGTGGAGGGCAGTACTATGCAAGAACCCAGAGTTTAGGGTCCCGCATCTTTACCATTAAGAACTCCTCGTGGTTACAATGTCCTTCATCTTTGGCATGGCGTGAATGTCTCAGGTATATGCATAGATCTTGCTAAAAATAACAACAACAGCATCAACTATTTAAAAGCCAGTGTTTCATAATTGAGGGGCCACGTGTTATAGTAGGTTATTATTCTTTGCATTTACAGAAACGGAGAGAATTCTTTACTATTATATAAGATGCACTTAATATATAGATGTTAAAGTAATGTATGAAATAATCGGGTTCAAACAACAAAGGCAGCCTCTCAACACCACCTCCGTCAGGCATTGACCTCTTGTCTCAGTCATGCGATTATTTTGTCTCTCAGCTGCTTCCCGTTGGATGCCTTGGCAGGTTAATGGAAAATGTTTTCCTCGACTACCTGTTTAAGAATCTCGCTCGTGCAAAGGGCCAGGCGTCATCAATGGCTTGATCTGGATCACAATCATAAATAACTTGAGCCTGCCATAAAAACGACAGCAACGCCATTCTTCTAAATTTAATGTGGATGTTTTCCGGGTTGTGGCATATATTCAGACCTGGGCGGTAGCCCTGGGGTTGCTCTTGGCGGACTGAGGCTTCAGGTGGCTGTTCGATCTGCTGAGGCTGGGCCGTGGGATCGTTTGCCTGGTTATGCCTAGCACAAAATCTGACGCCAGAGTAATTACTTGTAATGCCGAGGAATCAAAAAGAAGGGATAATTACCCCCATTGCGCTGCTAGTTGTCATTCCGATAAGCTAGTGTAGTTACCCGGACTAAGTCGTGAGGACGAGCTTCCGCTCGTCTCTTCTACTCCCTTTCAGACACGCAGGGAGGCTGAGACATTGTTGGCCGCATGCACCGCGAGCAATTATCTATGAAGGATTCTATGGACACGCGGGGCAATAATTCAATCTATAATATGATATGTCACGTATCGATTGAAACGCGAAAAGCATGGGATTGCAGCTAGTAACTCGTCACTAACTCTCAGCTATTAGGCACAATTTTATGAAGATATTCTCTGCCAAAACCGCGGATGCACAAGTCTTTGGTTGATCAAGGCAGCATCTGCAGTATCACAAACACTCATCACCCGAGTAGCAAGCACAGACTGGTCACTCGTTGGTACTGGAAACTTTCGGTTCGAGCAAAAGATTAGACCTTTTTTACAGGAATCTCCTTCTCTACTGTCCCTTAACTCTGCCTTCAACAAGATAAGCAAGAAACGGGGGAGTGTTTAACCTTTTCTTTTCAGGATCGTCAGAATGCCTAAGTGTTTAACGCTGAGTTCAGTACCAGCGTCCGTCCAGCAGCACAGTGCACGTTCCTTTAAGCTTCGGTTTATGTTCCGTAACAGCTCCTTACTCAACTCTATCATCTCTGTTAAGTTACTTGATCCTGGCTATGGCGTGTACGTTAATCGCTAGCTGATTACACCGTCACGTGTGATCTGACAGCCTGGAGGTCGGAGAGACCTTTAACCAGTCATGACACCTTTCAATCGTGGGTTTCGTCTAGGGGGATTGGTGCACTTCAGGGATAAAATTCAAGGGCTTCAGAGAAATGATGAGCTCGATTTGGCTGCCGTTGAAGGGACTGGATAGAAACAGATGGTGAGATATTTCTTGAAGCTGAGTTCACGGTTGAGATGAGTGAGGATAAAGAAGCGGACTGTGGCTTGAGTGATTTGTATTGTATTCAGTAGTTATCTACCGAATATAATAGTTCGAATCATTTCCTCCAACAAGAGCCTTTCTGAACAATGCACTCAGTCGTCTATGTGCAGAGTGTCCTGGGAGAAGTTCTTCCATATATCCACTGCATTATGCTCCCTTCCTGGAAGTCCAAGTGATGCAAATCCCAAGGAGAAAAAACATCTCTACGTACGTGAGAGATGCACTTCTCTTTTTCTGCGCCCGAAGAGACGGCACTTTTTATGTAGTCGTGAGTGAAGTTGCGCAGTTTAAGCTACTTGGCTAGTGGTCCAAACTAACAATAAAGAGGCGAAAGGGCGGTAGTGATATTGTGGCTGATTTGCGAAGTGGAAAAAGCCACTATCACATAAGTCAGGCTGACGAAAGCGATATTTGGCCTTGTGTCACAGGCTGTGCCTTGACCCAGGAATACATATTCATGGTTGGTGACCAAAAGTGAGGGCATAATGCAGTCTAGACTACCTGGAATAGGTAGTCTACACTACGGCTTGCCCGTTTATACATAGCCGTCCTACCAAAGTCGCACTTCCACCACTCTCTATTAACAAATACTGTAAATTTTCTCTCTTGACGCAATACGTCAAAGGCTGACTTCATTTCTCTGCTTTTACTCCCCGCTTATTGGTTTCAGGCCATGTACTAGCAATCCGTCTTTCGTGGTAGAATGAATATACCAACTGGCAGAGTTCTTCGTAAGAAATCTTCTCATCATCTATCACCGTGTTATTTAGTGGGATACAGATGAGGAGGCGGTGGAGATAGAGGGGGCGGAGGTAGAGGTAGGAGCAGAGGTAGAGGGGTAGAATGAGGATAAGCAGGAGGAGGAGGTGGTGGTGGTGGTTGTGGTAGAGGGGGAGAATGGCCATCGCCATCAGGTCCATCATGATCCCAACGTCGAATTTATGGCCTTGCACCATGTCCAACAGGCAGAGGTTTACCTGCCCTCATACTATGAGGGTCACTCCTCAGCTCCACTGGGCTTTCACCTTCAGGTACACAGACCTGCTCATCCCAGTCTGGCCTTAGCCAATTAATTATATACATACGCTGGTCACCTCCAGACCGTCATACATTTCATATTATGATTTCTATACGTATCTGTCTTCGCCAGAACATCCATTCTTGGGACCTTGTTCTTTACGAGGTTATTCAGGTGCGTACATATTCGGGCAAGGACGATATTCTGGTATTGTCGCGGCTTTGCTTCACCGTTAAGTCTCTCGATCAATTCGGCTAAGCCAGCTTCAGTCATGCCCTTAGTTGACATTTGCCATCGTGCGGCGTGAGCCCAGAGAACCTTTGTGTTCTCTGGTAACGATGGCACCTTTCCGCACGCGCTCCTGGAACGTACCAAATTAGCCATGAGGTTCATGGGGCTAGATAACGAGGTTCATCGAGTCAGTGCTGAGTTGCAAAGTAGGCAGATACAGTATCGACGGCAGTAGTCCCGCAATGCCTTTTGCCTTGAGTCTGCCGTTGAGGAAGATGGACAGGAGCTGATTTTATGTGTTGGACTTTTGAGGGGCCTATGAACACTAGATTAAATTATTTCTTCGGCGTTTATTGGGAAGACTTTTGTAATTGTGAGGTACTTAAACCCCGCGATGGAAGACCGTTGCCTGTCGTGTTATACTCTGTGTAACCAGCTTTCGGGTCACCAAGACACGTTATATCGGCCTTCTTCTCCCCAATCTATCTTCAAACTTCCCTTCCCTCCAAGGCATCCCAAGATGTACGCGGACTGTTCTTTCAACGTTCTAGAACTAAGTCTAGTCCCAGCTTCTCTTGCAAGTTTAATAATCCAGTCCATCGCCAGTGTCCTCCTCAAAAACTATCACCAAAGATATCATACCGGCAAAAGATTCCGACTGCTACTCTGTAACAATCTCAAAGCCAAATTGCTTGTTGCGCTATGTCCGCGAAGCTATGTTGTTAAGGACCCTTCACCGAAGAACTTTAATTCTGACTCCGGATTCGACGACATCTTTACTGACATGGGCCTTACGGAGAAATACAAGCATGGACTTGAGAGTGCACTGCACGGTATCTCTTTCTTGTATGGATAAGGAAGGGTGAGAGGATCTAATATAGCCAAGCTGGCCTTTAAAGCAACATGGCTGCTTCGCAAGGTTCACAGCTGGGAGCCGTTCATCCCAATCACGATCAACGGGACTCGGCGATACATGTGGGATACCAATGTCGTCATGACGAATTTGACATGTTTTGAAAATGCGAGGGACTGGATGCAGGGGAATCGAATGAGGGACAAGGAAGAGAAGCGCCGTGAGAAGAAAAAGCGCGCAGGACAAGCTGATAGCCATGCTACACAAACGACGCAGGAGATGCCGATAGGAGAGAAACTGGCTCTCTTGGATCTCAGTCAGCTGGTCCTCCCTTCTGAGATCTTAGTCAATTCGTAAAGGTCGTCCACGCTGTCGAGTGTCTAAATAACGCTCATCAAGACCATCATCAGCTCATTACGGAGAAGCTCTGGACGCAGATGCAAGGCGTCACCGTCGAGGTATGCGAGACCGCCAGCAGGATCCAGAAGCTGGAGGAGGAGCCAACCGTCAATGAGCACCCCTCATACCCCGGTATCACGAAACGAGCCTCGTATCGAATAACTATTGCCAAAGTAGTCGCTGGAAGCGTATCATGCTAAGGGCCCGCCAAACAAATAGTGCGAAAAGATTACGAGGCCACCGCTTCGTTGTTGTCTAATGCAAGGCAAGTTTTCGCCAAACCTGGACAGTGAGACTTACCTCCAGGATAAGTCGATTGAGGTCTTTGACAAGGACTACAGGGTTATAGCCAAGATGGGATTAGATAGCCTAAGGGAGTTTTTAATATATCTATGGCTTAAGCGGGTGGGTACAGGGTTGAAAGGTGTACCTGGATAACTACTTGGTCTAAGTTGATGAGGTAATTCCTCAAATGAAGCTAATCTTCCCGATTGTGCTATTCAAAATTCGGTGGTACGTCGGGAAGTCCGAAGAGAATAGAAACTTGGGCCCATTATCCGCAAGATCGTAGCAATAGGCGCAAAAGTACCTCTAGGAGCCCGCGTAGGTATAATCTCGGGGCTATAGCTATAAGGCAGTATTAGGCAGTTGGCTAGGTTGTATAGGCTTATGTGTGACGCTGTCGTAAGTGCCGTAATAATTAGTGTTGCCTCTAGCTAAGTAGTATATATACGTTGGTCACGTACCATACAAGAACAAAAGGTCAGGTTGAGACTTTCGATCGCCCACTAAACAAACAATCCAGACAGATAGAAATTCAAACTTCAATTCAGCAATTTCAGTCCACCCAAGTTCACAGTTTTCATCTCACTCTGAAGGTACTCAACCGCTCGACGCAACGTTTCTTTGCCTTCATAGCAAGCACCACTCTCAATATGCTGTGCTAAACCGCTGACGGTTGAGAAGGTTTTTGGAAGTCTTCTTGTACCACTGTCCTTCATCAGGGCCAATGGACAATGGAATGATATATCACCTGGTATACTCCGAACCAGGGTTAGGGGCATCTTGGAATGAACGCTTGACGATAAGTGTTGTTGGAGGGCCTTGGGGTCGTATGTACGGGTACGTCTGGGTGGGCAAAGGGGACATTGTGTAAGTCCACGTACAATTTCCAGTCGTCGGTTGACTGCCGCAACGAGGTCCGAGGTATCCAGAGAATCTGAGACTGGACTTCGCAGTGGTGATGGATAAGATTCAAGGAATTCCGTAGACGTAGGAGTCAGCAGTGGACTGCTTATTGGCGATGTCGAATTTGCAGACACGCGGTTCTCCAAAAGTTGAATCCTTGAGCTTTGGGTTGTGATTATTCCTTCTACGTCGTTCTTTGCAATGACTGCGTTTAACTGCGCCTTTCCTATTTTTGACGGACATGATCCGCTTTCCAAGTGATGCAGTTGCGCCGACGGGCAATCAAATGTTTTCTTGCATTTATTACTTGCTAGACATTTGATGTGGCATAATGGCTGGTGTCGGACCGAGCTTTTGTGCTGTTTCAGTGCAGCCTTGCTGTGAAAGGCCTTTCCGCACATGTCGCATCCTGTACGCTTTTGGGATGTTTTGCGTGGATGTGCCGGGCTGTTTTCAAGATGCTGTAAGAGACTTTCCTCTGTCTTAAAATTACGGTTGCAGTGGCAACAGCGAAACTGATTTGGGAGGGGCAGCATTTCCAAGAAAGAGTTCAATAGTGCAGGCCTCTCAAGACAACATGAGCAGAACAGCAAAGACAAGAATGACAGATCGATGGGGCATACTTGTACTCCGAAGTTGGAAGGAGGGGAAGATATAGTCGTGACGCGAGTATGACGCGATGAAAAGGATACGATATTTTAGGTTCATCTACTTACTTTGCAAATACTGTGTAGTAAGACTAACTTCTACAGTAACGGCGGCAAGTCATGTACGTACTGAGACTAAGTTGGCTTGGGCACCCAATCTCGATCGAGAGAGGACTAGTAAAAGCTAGCTAGGTATTAGTGAAGTCTATACACTCATTTGTTCCGCACGTCATTGGCTATGTGAGTCAATTGTTCAGCTGGACGTGCCTTAGTGGCAAGTAGGTAGTCAAAACCCAGAAGAAGAGAATAACTTAGCAAGTACTCTGTAAAGCATTTACACCAACTGACGAGGGTACCTAAAATAGGTTGCTCAAAGGTCATCTAAGTCTAACCCCTCTATCGATTTTTCCAGCTCTTTCTCTCCCAAGCAGAGACTTTTCTCCAGTTTACAAGAGTCCACGATTTGCTTTTTGCTGTACCAAGACGGAGTCTTGATACCACGGATGAAGCCAGCCACTGAATTAACACTAAATCCCAGAAACGGTTGTTCTGGTTTTGTCATCGGCAGAGTCTGGTCCCGCATTTGTTTCATCAGGTATCCGAGAAGTCTGCATGAACATTCCAGGGAGCAACCAACTCGTCCCACGAAAAGGTCCTCTTGCAAGTTATACAGTTGAGTGAACATTTGATCGAGTAGTCCGATGCGCTGTTGATCAATCTTATCTACTCAGGATTAGCCACTTTGTCTATATGATATATTAAGCTAGAGTACATACCGAGGATCTGGCTTGGTATTGGTAGATGTGTCTCAATATGGCCGGATGTTGTGAGTATTGCGGAAACTGTAAGGTTCTTGAAAACCACTTCGTCTCGAAATGTAAAGGCAACAAACAACATTAATAACTGAGATTCACCAAACGGATCCACTGAGATTTTGCCAAAGAGGATCCAAGAATATTTCCGCCAATCGCTGATATGCGCTTGCCACCGTTCAAAGAAGATTTCAACAACTTCCAGGCAGTCATAGTAATCAACAAGGAACCCAATTTGTACTATAGTGTCGAGATCTAGGTCTCTAGGCACTTGGCGATGGTGGCCATGTATAATATCAAGTAAGACCAGAAGAGCTTGGGTATTCCAATCCGAGGTTCTGATTTCAAATAGCCCGTTTTCGTTGGGTTGCGATTCCTGGAAGTTGCCTTGTATCATCTTGCGGAAGACTGGTGACGCGATGCAAAGATGCTTGGTAGATACCCGAAATTCAACCTCATTAGGACTGCCATCCTCCCGATATGGTTGTAAAGACTTGATCTTTTTGAGGTCTGTTAATGTTTTGCTCTTCTTTTTCCCTTTGGCTGGGGCCGAGGTAGTCGTTTTCGGTTCGGCTTTGTCTGTCGTAACCCGCAAATCTACTTCCTTTGCTGCATGGACTTGTTGCAAATTGGGACTCTGCAAGATGAGCAGCGCATCGGCGTCTGGATCTAACTCGAGAAGGAATTTCTTCATTGTGGAAGCTTGGAAGACAGTTCCAGGTTACAAAGAAGAGTTTCCCCGCTTCAAACAATGATATCATTTGGAGGGGTAGGCTGGGTTTTGATTGGCTTCACCAATGTTGCTGGAAAAGCTACGTCAAGGGCCTGGGTATCAGCAATCGCGGACACTCTGCTCTCACCTTTTGGGCACTACTGGCTTCAGGCCATGCCTTGCGGGGACTAACTCTCAGTGGCTCCCTGTAAATAAAAATTTAGCTTATTGCCTTGTCGACTTCAATGCGGCGATACGGTGGGGTAGGGCCATAAAGGATATTAATAAGTCTCTTGGTTTCTTTGCCTGCTTTTGATTGAATTTATTCTTACCTACCCTGGAGGCCCTGGTGATATTTCCTTTAAATTTTTCATGTCGCTCAGGTTCACCGCTATCGGGAAAATAGTTTTGCGCACTCCATAGTGTTAGCGTCAGGCTACTGCAAGGATTTAACCCATTTATGCCAGCTTCAGATTACAGAGCTTCTTTTAGCCAATCGTGAGTGGCGACAAATTGTAATTCGCTACCGGAGTCACCAAGGTCAAGGCCACTCAGCCCGTGACACTCATGTTATAAGTCAGCCGCAATGAATTATGAAATCTATTGAGACGGCACCATGTCGAGTGAGAGCAATGAACTGTTTTGGGTTAGTGAACAATATCCTCACGCGCTCACCCTTATCACTCCTCACCAATCATTACAAGAGCACTAAGCCCAAAGTGTACAACCGTGCCATTGGTTCCGTCAGTCAATCGTTTGTTGAGCAACACACCAAGCTTACACCTTTCGGTTGACATCCGGCAGGACCTAGACTCCACCACCAACTCCGCTGACACGCTATACCCTCGACAATGGGTGGAGGCTATTCACTTACACCCTGATCTCGTGAGGCTTGAGCAACATGCCACTAGTGCTCGGGTTCCTGCGCCGGCGAGTGCTCGGGCAGGGTCGGAGAGTTTGGGGATCTCGGCCGAGAGACCTTCAGAGACTGTTATTACCGCTGTTCTTACCGCTTACGCTGCTAGTATCGCCCGTAATTGGATTCCCAGGGTGGGATCCGATACTGCTACTGCGACTGTTCCTGCTAAGAATACTAGCGGCGCGGACGTCACGAGGTTATGGAAGTAGACGAGGATGTACCAGCTCCAATAAAGCTTCCTCGTCTGGACAACAAATCCCTGCGAAAGAACCCCATTCCCGCCTTAGAAAATCTCATCACTTAATCACTGATCCAAAATGAAGTCTCCATCCCCTGCCCAGGTAACATCGATTTCGATGCGTTCAGAAAGGCAATCCACCCCAAGAGCCCTGAGTGCCAACAAGCCTCGATCAATACACACGGGGCATCGCTGGGCAAGGATGCTGCTCCATGGACGGATGAACAGACGCTTTGGAGGAAGCCAAGATATGGCTGGACAACATGATCAATGACCAGCCCAAAGGCATCATGCCTTACTACACTGGCTACGCTGAGAAGCTGCGATGCCGATGGCTACTTAATCCTAGATAGCGCGTCCTGGATAAGCCTCTACTTAAGGACATCTGGGAGCCTCATTATTATGTCAGTGATGATATGTCGTACGCTGTTATGCATACCGAACACATGTCCTCTAGGGATAAGGACGGCACGATGCACTGCTTGGGATCTGCGAATGCTGCACGCCTGGGGATAAAGATCTAGGTGTTGATCTCGCCGGAAGCTGAGTCCAAGTTCAAAAATTTTGTCGACAGCTTGTACGATCAAGATTGGATACCCGGGTAACCTTGTCCTCACAGAACAGGCGCAAGACCACATGGTCACCAATATGGGGCCGTAAATCGCCGAGTCTGTGAATTTTGCATTAACAGGTGACAGAATTCGCAGTCCTGACTTCGCCAGATGCGACCTGGGGGGTCTGAATCTCCCCCACCTGGCCCATCGAGCGCCATCGCCGCCGGCTCCAAGCAAGCGCACGCATGCCGAGAAGCAGGTCCAGCCAAAAAAGAGAAGTCGCGTCGAAAGACGAACGAAATCAGGCACCGGACCATCGCGAACAGTCAACACTCGTGAATCACGAGGTCGTGCGGCTCTTGAGCAAGTTGTAGACCGCCTTCGAGGCGCTGGCCACGCCTTCTTCACACCCATCATCTTGAAGACCCTGCCATCTGACCGAATCTATCGTCTCGTGTGATCCTTCATGAGCCATGCCACAATTATCGCATCCTAGGACGTGACAGTAGCATGGAACTCGGACAGTAGCGCAATTCTCCCGAAGCCATGAAGAAGAAGCAAGAAGAAGAGGGCATGACACCCAAAGCTGTGGGGTATCACTTGGGGCAGGACAAGAGATGGAAGAGAATATCTGACGTCCACTGCGGCCTTTTGCCCTTGACGTAGTGCTTTGTGGTAACCATGGGTGTCAAGTTTTCAGGTGCCAAGTTTTTTCTAGATGAGTCGGAGTTTACCGAGTTAGAGATGATAATGCAGAATGAGGCTGCGGAAAAGCTTCTTAGAGCAACACAGGCTTTTATTAATGCTGTTGAGCAAGGGGAAAAGGTTACATTTGGCGAGGATGTTGGTCGGGACGTTATTCTTGGTCTTGGGCATCCCGGCAAAATCAGCCATGGCTCAATATCCTGGCAGGCTATGGTACTAGTGCAGATAATCCACAGGCATCATCTCCAGGACTGCTTCGACAGGTACATCCATGGCCAGAGCGCGGTGGTGTACCTGCCACCGAAAGTGGGTAGCGGTCATAAGCTATTTTCCACGAAGACATTTACCAAGGCCGCCAAACATGACCTTCACGGTATTTGTGAACAACAGCCCCCCGGTGCTCTTCATGGCCTGGTTGCGGCCTACATATCACTCATTATTCCCATCAAGGGTGTGTAAGCCAGTCGCGGTGGCATTGAATCCCACTAGTTCAACGTTTGTATTAGTATTAGGCGGCTACGCGTTGGCAGATCTTAACTAGTGCTAGGTTCTAGCTCAGTATGCCTTGGCTGTGGGAGGGAATCATATGATACTCTACAGTAACACATCGTAAATCTTGAAGCTGCCTGAGCGAATCCATTCCAGGGGGTTCGATACAGTCTTGGCTGGGTATCTCCGTGCAGAGGCAAGTCGACCTTGGCCCCGAAGGCGACCCCTCCACTAGCATTGTTCTACCAAAGGTCAGTGGCACCACTTCAAGTTAAGTAAGACTGGTGTCTGCCTAGCATAGCCCCCGAGACGCAAGTGTGTGGCAAAGTACCCAGATTCTAGGGGCGCGAAAGCTTACTCAAAGGAGAACCGCGAGGTCAGCCCAATTAATTTAGTACTGTATAGAAGTAAGAGTATTCTCAATCTTTAATTGTAACTAGTTCGTAGAGTACTCTGTATAAGACGTCATCGCTGTTGCAGTTGGTGGATAGTGACCACGATAGTATTACTATCAAGCATCAATATAATAATTGATCTACTCAGTACTCTATATAAAATAACCAGGATACTATCTCTCGCTAAGAACAATGCGACCTTTGCCCCCTACTGGAGCTGCAGCCAAGAAAGTTTCATTTGAGTCATTTCGCATCTAATATCACCAGAAATACCTGAAGCAGCTGCTGCCTAATCCCCTTACCTGCGGTAGTACTAATTCAGCCATGCATCTTGCCGCCTAAGGCATACGCTTCGCGGTTCTTCGAGGCAATCAAACGTGACGAACCGTATCGTAGAGAGAGGCCTGGGAGGCCTGAGTGGAGTTGAAAAAGCCACCGTGGGGGTCACTGCTACAAGGTATCTAGTGCAGCTAGAGAGCAAAAATGGCTCAGATTTCAGCAGTGGCTAGTGTAGCTTCTCCCACCTTTCAGCGTCCTATAATAAGCTTTAGCTAACCGCAGACCAACAGAAATTGCTCACAATGAGAATATTCAGTGAAAAAAAATCATTGCCTTGTCGTGGAGAAATTACAGTCTGTGTGAAATTTGCGAAAGAGGTTTTAGTGGAAAACAGTTATTTTGATGTCGCTCCCGGCTAACATTTCGAAACGCTTCGTCTACGAGCCTCTCACCTTCCCTGGTCAAAGCATCAGAGTCGTCACGCTTTATCAAGGCTCGTTTTCGGACCCAATTCGCATCTCTTTGGCCGAAATACAGCTAGTTGTAAGTGATTTTCCTTTGCGGCTGCTCAAATCACCAATGCGCTAATCCAGTCCAGCCCAACTGTTTTCAGCGGCACCATGGATTATTTCAATATGAAGCTCTGTCATATGTCTGGGGCTCAGAACATAATCCCAAGGATGCCATAATGCCTGACAGAAGTTCCATCTCCATCACAAACAACCTTGACATCGCTCTTCGCCACCTCAGATATACAGCAAAGGATCGACAGCTTTGGGTTGATTCTCTTTGTATCAATCAAAAGGATGAGGAGGAAAAGAGCTCCCAGATCCCTCTCATGGGCAGCATTTATCGACTTGCGAATCGCGTTCTGGCCTGGTTGGGCCCAGAGGAGAACGAGAGCCGTCATGCCCTCGAGACCATAGCTCACGTTGGCCGCCAAGTCGAAATTAATTGGAGCACGACGAGCATAAGGCCAGCACGTGGCACTTCTGAGCTAGATTGGGCGGAGCTCGCCATGACAGCACCGTTCAATGACCAGGAACTGCACAGCATATGTTCTCTCTTTCAGCGGCCGTGGTTTGAGCGCATCTGGGTTCGTCAAGAAATTATCCTTTCCACTGTAGCCCTAGTGAAATGCGGCAGCACGGAGGTTGATTGGAATCTATTCAGAAAAGGGGCATACGTCATGTTTCGCCAGCCTAGCGACATTTGGCATATCTGGGAACGCAACATCGCATTCGTTCAATCTCTACGGCTGGTTGAGTCGCTTTGCAGGACGCGGCCGGGTTTTCTTGGTTATCGTGACCTCAGAACGGACATTCGCGGCACCAAAAGCAAAGATCCGCGGGACATGATTTACGGAGTATCCAGTTTGCTATGCGGGCCCGATCAAGCTCTAGGCATTCAAGCAGATTATTCCAAATCTGTTTCTGAGGTCTACACGGACGTAGTCCAAAGGATTATCATCCAGCGTCGTTCATTGAAAATTCTTGACACCTGTGAACTTTGCTCCAAAGTCTTGGATATACCCAGTTGGGTTCCCGACTGGTCGAGTTCTTTGAAACAACTAAACATGCCCTGGGGAACGTGGAGCGCTTGCGGGTGGATATCGGCGAAGGTCAATTTCTCACAGGACACGTTTCTTGGGAAAAGAGTCCTCCGTGTTGCCGGTATCCGGGCATCAAGGATAGCCAACGTTCGCTGTGCACAGACTGGCAACTTCGATACAGAGGTCTCTCACAATCGAATGATCGAATTAATAAGGCACTTCAAGCCATCAGGGGACCTTGATGCTCCTTACAAGAGTGGGGGAACAATTATTGAGGCTTACGCTCGCGTTTTCGTTGGCCTGGGATTTGCCCACGATTTTGACCCGCCTGACAGATATTGGCCTGACTTTGATCGAACCGTACAAGATGTTCGCATTATATGGATGACCGATGGAAACTACGATGAGCTGAGAAAGGTGTCCATGCATCCATCTGAAGCATTTTTCAGGTCATTCACTTTAAATATTGTGGGACGCTGTATTTTTTCGACTGTCGACGGGCTCATTGGACTTGCGCCACTGAATACTATCTCAAATGACCTTGTTAGTGTAATATTTGGTGGCAGGAACCCAGTAATCCTACGAGAATATGCCACAAGCTCCGCATCAGACGCAATGTACCAGGTTGTGGGCGTCTGTTACGTGCCGGGCCTGATGATGGGCGAGATTATTCACGGATCCTTCCCCAGCTTTTACAGGCCGATAAATACGTTTGGTCAGTCTCTTAGCACTCACGCCATTGAAAATACGCATATTGCGTTGTTGGACACTCGAAGAAACGAGTTGAAGACTGATCCGTCTGCGATTCTGATGGAAATGGGAATTAGTTGCGAAAGGTACCAAAGACATCCACATATACTAGAAGTCACCCAAAAGGCACTTCAGGAAGCCAATGTTGCCATAGAAGACTTCAACCTATTTTAGGGAGTTAGAAGCAATTACTGAGATTAGGTGAATTTCCAATCCATCTCACTTTGGCCATGTCTATGTACGGGATGCCGACGGTCTTCTCTTTCAGTATATCGTTCCACATCATGGCCATCATCAGGTTCGTGTTTACGTGCGGTTTCATCCACGACTTGATGCCGACGGTCGACGGGGCCTAGAGGAAGGGCATAAAGTCGTACTTTAAGATGAGCCACATCTGGTAAGTCAACATGGATGGAGCTACACTCATATATAGACGCCTTGTCGGGTTCGGCTTTGGTGAAGGATGAGATAACGGCTTCGTGGAATCATGGACTCCACCGCATAGTTGCACGAGGAACCTCAATTTCGGAGTCAGGTCAGAGAACTCGTTCAAGGTAACCATGTCCATCACGGTTGTCGAAAGGACGAGGTTTACCCCTCTTTGTTTCGTAGCGGTTGGCGGCTTTAGAAACAGGCAATCCCGGCCATGGATGGTTAGCGTGGGCAGATCGCCGGATCGTATGATCAGGAGCAGATAGGACGCGGCGAAGCGGCCAAGATCTCATGGTTCAGCTGCGGTACAGACGGTCAGAATATTTGAGACTGTGAGTCAACCCATTGGTAGTCCATCAACTGAATCAGATACTAATCTATCAAGTTCGAAGCCACTTTTGGATACGAACGCTTGCACGCCAAGTAGCCGGTGACAGCTACAGCCACAAATTTGACTTTATAACCGTTAGAGACTCACAGTTACGAGTCTTTGGCGACGTGGGGGACTTGACCGTGTCCCCAAGCTTGACCTCTCATTAGCTCTTCCACCATCTCGGCAATCTCGTAAACATCTCGTACTCGACTGACCTCATTTCGTCTTGCGACAACATGGTGTTGGGAAACGTCAGTACTTGCGGTTTCATAAAAGCTGAAGGCTGAACCAATGTCTACGTTTGCTGCTGGATGATAAAGACCGACGTCTACTATACTCCCTCCTCTTCAATAAAAGTCTGTCTTCCGACAGACCATCGATCGGAACTGAAAGGTAGCCTGCAAACCAATGCTCGTGCAAGCCCAGCTGAGAACCACGCATCGCGTTTCCAAGTTTTGCTATTCAGTGAATGTTACGTCACCTTCTCAAAATGAATAGTGTTTTATTAGCTGCCTGCGGTAATCTAGACTGCACCGCTCCGTTCATAATTTGCATTCTTTGTCTGCAGGGCCTTGAATGGATGAGCATTCGGAACGCTATTACTATACGTAAGGACGTACTAGTACTGATTTCCCGCGTAAAATTGCATCTGGGGCCTCTCCATTTGGGGAGCAAAGGAGATGACCTTTACTTGGTCGAGACTTGTCATCCAAAAGGCTTGAACATCGATGCTTTCGAACTTTCCTTACTCTATTCTCTTTAGCAGCTGGTCGACTCCGACGCCCACGGATCTTCATGTGCCCCAAATGAAACCATCAGCTCAAGGCGTGGAGCGGAGTGACTACAGGACGTACCCTATGCATCGTCGAGATCATCGCTTTGCCAGCATACAACCTTACAGGGGTGGCCAATGCCTTCTCCGGGGGACAGGGCTCCCGGTCTGAGCTGCATGGCTGAGGTCCTGGTCGCTCAATTTCAGCTTATGGCATGGTAGAAGTGTTTTCTTGAAAGGGAAGGGTTTCCAGTGCAGAGACATGGCATATCCTAAAAGTGATGTGGAATGTAGTGTCCGGAGTGTGAGCTATTTCTAAATTGACTTCCGTCTTTCAAGGCAAAGTCTCGCAACTGGAAAGCCGCCGGCCCATGGAATCAAGCTCCATTGGAATGGATCGAATCCTCAACGATTGGAAAACTCTCCTTGGATCCTGGGTTGTGGATATTGACTCGATCACATCCTTTTTACAACCGCATATGAAACCACCATGGGCGCGACCCTGTCGTTCCAAACCACTGCCTCTTTACCTCCAATCGCTAACCGAAACGCGTGACCCATCCAGCCAACCTTATGACGAGTGCCAAGGCACCTCTTCAGGTGCCAGGAAGAGGCCAAACTTAAGACCTCCATTAACCTTCATCGTGAGCTCAATTCCGCTGCCTCAGATGTAGAGGTGTGGGCAGATACTCTCAACTTCAAATCCTTCTTCTTCCGCCATTGACGCTCGTTCAAATCCCGTCCCCATATTGCCAAAGCTTGATACGCCTCTATTTTTCAGTTTAGATATATGCTAAGTCCATCTATCCTAGTCAGCGTGCATCGGGACTGTGATGGACGGTACGGAAGGGCTGGTTGTGATAACTCAGAGCACTGCATAGGGGTGATTATACACCGTCCAAGGAGACCCTGCACAGCTCGTCGTTTTTGAAGTCAGCTCCTAAGAGTCCCGTGACTATGAGTTCGTCCGAGAGGATAGAAATACATAAAGGCGATTAAAGTGTCACCGAGAGACGACCTTTTACTCAGGAGGCAGGTAAAGTCAAAAGCCGGCATGGCTTGAAATAGACCCAAATTGATGTTTGCTGAGAAGGGCAGGATGGACGTTTACGTCGTTTTTAAATTGGAGTGAATCGCGATATACTTGGTAAGAAGTCTTGACCAACACGTGCTTACGTTTCATACTCTCTAAGAGCAAATTAAAGGGCTCAATCGAAGAATGAAGAGGTCAGGTGATCCGCCTTACCATTGCAAAACGACGTTATTAAGAGCCTTATTGATAGTAACTCTAATCATCAAAACCTATACATCTTCAACATGGCACCGTCGCAACTGAAGCATCTCGTTGATCCACGGTCTCTGTAATTGAGGATATCTTACCGTTGCTCAGCTCCTACCAACCAAACCGCTCGTCGCTAGATCTCTTATCTCTCTGGAGCGCGCCATCGCATTTTCGAATGAGAGGCAATAGCACTACTGAGCCAGCATGGCCGGAATACTGAAGTGAGATAGTTGATGTTTGTTCTCTTTATCCATCAACAGCTCTGAGTTGCGGTTCATCGAAGGAGGGCCAAGGTAACCAGAAAAGCAACAAAGACGAGAAGTCATGAAAGGAAAGTGCAAGAGCCTGAGGTGGATAACGATTGCTGTAAGCGAGGTGACAAAGCCACAAGCAAAGATATGAAATACTCTTCCCAATACCTCATTGGATCTCCAAAGCAAAAACGCCAGTCTATTATCCCAGATCCATTCTATGAAACGCCAAACATCCCCAAAAGCAAGTTAGCAATGTTTTATGAGGTACCAAACACTCCCAAAACAGATCAATAAGTCATCTTCGTCTTTTCTGAAACCGCCAAACTCAAATCCAGCAACCCAGTTACTCATCATCACCAGTAAGATCGATCTCAAGATATCCATTCGACATGGTACGAACAGCATAGCGAGGTGGCTCTGGAGCAGGTTCAAGTGTCTGAGGCATGCCCTGCGCAGCCTGGTTGATATAGTCAAGGTTCATGATGCCCTGGGCCTCGAGGGTACCTAAAACATTAGCAGGATCTCATCTCATCAACTGAAGTGACATACCCGGTGAGAGATACACGAAGTCAAAACATCCAATGGCTTCTCTGATATCAACGTCATAGTACTCGAAGTGGACGGGGACATCAACAAGTCTGTAGCTTTTGCAATGTTAGTCATGGCCTTTTTGAGTTCGATTTGCTTACCCAGTGCCATGGGTTTGGCCATACCCATTGAGTATCAAGGCTTTTGTGGATGGTTGTAGAGTGTTGAAGGTTTGCTGTTTATTACTAGGGCTAGGCATGGGATCAGAAATTAATTTTTTAGCTGATCTGAGAACAACCCTAATTGTTCCCAGAGTCTTCACAAGCTGCATATCAGCCTGGAGGGTCGCGGCAGTAGTGCACTCAGCTGCGCCGACGTTAGGTCTGAGCTTTCCAAGACAATAGGGATACATACCAGGCGCAAGGTCTTGGAAACAGAAGGTGTGGGGGTTGATGGAACCATTGGCGTCTTCCCTATGAAGGTGGGATATATAGTCGATGAAGTCTTGCTCGCCAGGAAGACTTTTGAAGACCAGGGACTCCTCTACTAGGCTCCCGTCAATGTAGATGGAGACCAAAAGGGTGTCTGTTTCGGCGCCGAAGTAGAAAAGGGGAGATAATCTGAAGCGAACCGAGTAGGTCTCGCCAGTCTCTGCAGCAATGAAACAACGCGTTCGAGGCACACCTTCGAACTCAGCATCGTACGGGATTGGGATGTGAGGTGGTTGATACTCATCCGCCGGTTCACCATCGACGATGATGGCGGTGGAGAATGCTGGAACTTCAGGGAGAATCGCCATTGCTGAGTCTTGGTGTAGAATGAAGATGGTAGAAAGATATGGAGCAAGTGCAAGAATGGTAGAAATAGACTCTGTAAAGGTAAGCTTCTAGAAGATGTGGAAGAAGCGTTGGTGAGAAGAGTAGATGGTTCTGATCAGAAGAAATGGGACGTTTTATATGTACCCATCGTTCATTCCATAGCACCGGCAACGCAAACAACGTTGCCAAAAGTTTGGAACATGATTGAAGAAATATGTAGCTTGCGATGAGCTACTGCAGGGTCTTTTGTGGGTGGTTATGCACGCTGCAGCTTGCTCAAAGGGGTTCTGCTGCAGCTCATGTAATCACCACGAACAACTCAGCAACCTTTGTTCAGCTTCAAAGAGCTGCATATGCTGCTTGCTTTTGATCCATTGATGGGGCAGTGGATTAAAAAGGAGTTACGTTCACGAAAGCGGCAAACAGCAGCGAAAAGAATAGTCATAAGTTCTGTGCTACGCGGATGAAAGATAACGGCTGTTTGTTTCTTTGCTCGTGGCACGGGGCATGGCTTATGCGCGTGGTTCTTTGACACGTGCAGTGAATGATGAGACTTGCATCATGATAACTCCAATGGCGCTGATGACGCGACATCTTGTTCTTTGATCTAGGCGAAAAAAAGATATCGCTGGCTTTCGCACATCGCGACAATTGCAGCTGTTGACAGCGGTGGTTGTTTTAACTTCCTGGTAAGATCCGTCAGTTTACACCTTGTAGAGGACTGAAAGGAAATAATCTTGACCGTGCTATTTGGAGCTGTTTACGAATTGCCAAGACAATTTGATACTTAAATGTTTCGTTGCCGCGTATACACAGTAATACTAAGATTAGCGACATCCAAGTCCACGTCCTCCATGAAGCTATCACGACACTGATACTCATATTGCTTCCCGCCAAAGGTATTAGCTCAACATCCAAGGTCAATATCTGTCAATGCATCTAGTAAGTCACTGAATATGTTCCGACCCTCCTACATCTCTGCTCTTTGCTTTGTTAAAGTATGATCTGGCATCGCCACTGCTTTTGTCTTTGTCGGAGCATTCTAAACATGCTGATGTATGACGGCCAATATGTAAATCTCTTAGGCCGTTATTTATGCTCCTTCATGACAAATCCATCGATCCGTTCGATTAATTTTATACACATTGTGGTCAGGGATTCAAGATACGATAGATACTGATATCTTGCTCGAGAACTGCAAAAGCATTCTGTCGCTCAAACGCCGTAACATGTACTGCTTTATTCTCTTAACCAAGGTTAGCTATGTTGGTGACAACTTGGACATCAGCGTAAGCCAATACATAAATGTTATCGCAGTACTGAGGGTTACACTTTTACGTCTTTCAGTTTTCCTCTGGGCTTCGAGCTTCCACTGTAACCAGGCTAAATCATTGGTCTTTACCATCCTTTTACACACACTGTTCAGCGAGCTTCAGAGACTACCGACACAGCTCATCGACCTCTGAGATATTCAAACTTGCATCAGCAAAGGCCAGTATAATCCAAGATAGTCTTCTCCGCGCCGATATGAGCCAAAGTCTTGACTCTGGTAGGGATCAGTATCTTCACAGGTGTGGGGACTTTCTCCTGAGCAGATCATCTCGAAAAGCGCTTAAGCCATCCTCTGTAACATCAGATAACCACAGCCTCATCACATATCCCTTAAAGTTCTTCAAGCATGCAAACCCCTTATCATTCTCAACCATATATAGAACCTCCTTCAGGTAGACAATCCCGAAGGCACTGTTAAGAAAGACTACCATAGCCACTGCAAACATATATTTTCTACCTACCAGTCCATTTATCATGCATCTTAAATCGTTCATCTCATGTAGGCAGTATCATATGTCGGTTATGGCGGTAGTTAGGATCCATTGGAGATACACACTTATCCTGTAGAGAAAGGCGGATCTTGATATGATCAATGCCCAGCACCGAAACTATGGGCCCATCAGGAGGCGACTGTTGGAGCGGAGCCAGGCTCTGGCGGGCGTTGGATATCAGCCCAAAGGGGGAGACGAGTGATTCTTATTCTGTGCTAGGGACTCACGACGGCTGAAGTGAGCTGGTGGCTACCATACCGAAGTCGTCAAAGGACTCATCGTGGCGCGACTTGGTATCTTATCCGCTACGAAACCGCCATCTCATCTGCTATATGCCTCCTGAACTTAGCTTGCTTCGCTATATTGGCTTCGCTCTTTATCCCAAACAGATGTATTCCAAATTCTGAGCTCAGATAGCTTGTAGCAGCAGCTGGGGTGGGCTATCTTTGGCATGTCACAGTACTAGTGACCAAGTCTTAAGGCGCGAGCTGCAGCTTCAATTAATATATCCTTTGGTGACCATGGCATGCCGACTAGTTTCTCGATTCATGGCAGCAACGAAAACATGCTTCACGCACATAAGGCCCACGGGCATCAGTATCTCAAGCCTCTGTATCACAACCTGATGCCACCAAAGAAGATTCTGGGTTCAACACACCACGTGCATATACCAGGTTCATTTCCAGGACCTACAATGGAACAATCCTGACAATCTGGCTCAATACACTTTCACCAGCCTTGACTCGGTCGTGACGTTAGCGCCCGGCCCAGGGTCAGAAACAGAGTCTGCGCCTGCATCAATTGTAAAACTGATAGCGTATATTGTATGACATGAAGCGGGGCTTGCGGTCTGGTCCGCGCTGAAACAAACAGCCCAGCGTCCGGGCCGATACAGGGTCTGGGAAAAGGGAGCTTTGATCTTGCAGTACCGGAGTCCCCGGTGGTCCGAGCCGGGGGCTCTCGCCTTCAACTGCCTATTGCGGAGATAAAGTAAACTCTAAGTACCCCGGACAAGAGCTGAGATGTTGGACTGACTTTCGAATTTTCTAGATTATATTGACTTTGTGTAGAAATATTATACTGAGCTTAAGTTATGTAATATTAAGCAAATCGAATCCGCCAGTTATGTCTAGTTTTTTAAGTTAATGCCGTTACTGTAACATATTGTATTTACAGTGGTAGCTAGAAGCATCGATCTATGTCTATATGTAGTCTACCTCTACCTATATATTGTCAACATGTCCCGTAATAACCTCTTTGAAGTCGAAGTGAGAAAGATAAGCATTGGCTATTTTGATGGCTGGCAAGGTAAGGGGCTCTCTGGGCAGGTAGTCTGCGGCGTGCATTCTCTTAGACCCGAGAGCAGCTAAATATCCATTCGCTCGAAGCAGTGCAAAGAACCCTGTCCTTGGCCAGCTGCGTCATACCTTGCGGGTTGCTGCGCGCATGGTTGTGCATGAATATGACTGCATATTGCTGAATCTTGCGTCCGTCGGTACTGACGCAAGTGAGGTCTTCTTGATTCCAAGATCCAGCCTTGAGATCCAGCTCATCTCTTCTGTTCTTGAGAGCCCAATGGATATCGCCGATGGACAAGGGACTGCCCGTGTTGAAACCCGCACAAGTGATGCTGTATGGAGCCACAGTTGCTCCGATCACAGCTGGTTCTGGGGCTGCCGCCGCGAGAGTGCCGAGGATCAGGCTGCTTGCCGAAAAGGTGAGAGCTGAGAAGACTATACCGCTGGTGAGTTAAACTCCGTGATAATGATATCCTCAACATACATTTCATTGCTGTGTCGTAACAGTGGAAAGATTAAACTTGCATTGAAGGAAAGGTTCGATCAACTGATGCAGCAGGTAACAAGATAATGCCTAGGCTTTCCTGTACTGAGGTGACTGATGTGTTCGTGTTGGGCTTTGTCAAGGCGGACAGCTTACAGTATTTATATCTGTCGTCGGTCTTCTGACTTGAATGAGAAGCCGCACTTCCCTATGCCCAAAACTAGAACATAGGGAGCACAGTGGAGCTGTAAAGTGATAATGCCTCATAACCCCATTTTTTTAATGAAATGTATCAGACTGATAAAGCTACTGAAAAAAATTAATTTTATAAACTTCCGTTTTAATAGGTAGATATATTTCTCTTGGATATAATAAACTTTTTCTACATATGGCCATTTTATTAAAGTATAATACAGTGGAACTAAAGTTTATCTCTTATACATTTTGTTTAAACCACTCGGCAGTTCTTCACCGCCATAGTGCTACTGAGCCAACTGCTAAATTACATCTAGTTTACGTTAACCACAACTTTAAATACGAATCACAGATCCTAACTATACGGCTGATAAGATACATATAAATAACAGGAGTTTCTAGCGCGTCCTATAGAGCCCGAGAATGAATATGCTAAAAGGAACATGCCTGGGTCTGGTTGAAGTTGCTTCAAGATGGCTGGGACCTGATTGCTACACTGGGGATTGCGAATATCTTCGTTTTGCCAATGACAGAATAGCCTACCCTTCAACCTAGAATCTAATCAACCAGGTAGCACGGGAAACGCCTCAACGAGATTTAGTGTAAATCAAGGCGTTTCTTGTGAAATGTCTGAATTTCTTATGTCCTTTGTACAAGAACCTTGGTTAATTCCTTGCGTGTTATGGACGCTATAGATCCGCGAAAGCACGTGATCTCACCCATCTCATTGGCGATTGAAGCTAATAAGATAAGAGTCCTGAGCTTCGGCGAGTTTTAAGCCCCGCCATCGGCCAAATTTATTATATTTTATTAGAAAACTACCGTAACTATATATAGTAGTCGACTAGATATAATAGTAAGCTAAGCATACTAATTCTAGTAGGAATTCTTTAAATCCTATTAGCTTACTTAATAAAATAGTGTAAAGATACCTAACTCTTAGCCTAATCTTTTATTACAATACTAGCTAACAAGTGTTAGGATGTTATCTTTATTACAGCTTAATGCTGAGCAGGCACAAGTCTTGGATACTAAGAAACAGATGGAGGGCTTTATATCTAAGTACTTTCATTATGCTCACAGTGGTCCTATTACGTCTTTCAGCTGAGCCTCTGAGTCTCAAGCCTTGTCTGGACCCAGACTAACTCAAGTTGTTCTTCTCCATTCCTTTTCATGTGGCGTGTAGCAATCTCATATTTTTATATGATTGATCTTTCTGAGTTTGTCTTTCTATTAGCTTGTTCGAACTAAATGCTCACCAAGAACAAGGTAATCAGCTTCCATTACTCTAGAATTTTGAACTAATATATGTGCTAACTATTTTCCTCGCGGCCTTTTCCAAAACACCGCATTAATCTTGTTTGGGTGCAATATCCTGGTATCGGCTTTACTGCTGAAAGGTTGAGCATCGTTCCACTCTAACTTCATACTAATTGTCATGGCCCAGGTCATTGCAGCTCAGGGCAAGAATCTCTTGGGATGTACTAGCCCTAGTCAGGGGAGGTGAGTTGGTGGTGTTTGCGTCCGCATCAATAGTCCCTTGGAGTATGACAGGGTAAATAAGAATATTCAGGTGTTGAGTGTTTCAGTACTGACGATATCCGAGCTGTTGGAGAGTTAGAACATGGTATGCTTATCAATAGGGTTCCCGTCCAGAGGCTGTAGTATGTTGATTGGTATTATGTCTCAGTATATCCCTGCCAGCCATTAGTCGAGCGGAAAGTACTCAGAGCATCAGGGGCGGGGTGATGTCCGGAAGTGTTAGGCTCGTTCGGCTACGAATGAGTAGCCTTCCTACGGGAGAGGCGCGGCCCTAAGGCCAGGCCAGACGAAACTATAACATGCGGCACACCCGAAGTATGCTAGACGCTGGGTCGCCTGGTAATCTAACTGGAATCGAATCTCAAAATAGTTTTCGCCTGCTCTGTAGCTGTCACACGGGTTGAGAGATCAAATCCCGAGTCCGTTCCAAGACTCAGCATAGCACCAGTAGGTCGCGCTCACAGTGTCGTGGTGATCTGCCCTAAACCTTCCAAAGCATCTCATTTACATATGGTTTTTTTGGCGCTTTAACCGAGATCTGAGTGCCTGTTTCAACAATTAGCATCATGATTGCATACAGTAAGGCTTTCACCCTATACACTGGTTCTTTATCTACTACATAACTCAGTCTATCGATATCAGGACTGTCCCGCATAAGGAAGACACATATATCGTCTTTTGATATTAGCCTTCATTCCGACTTTGCATGTATTTCCCCCACGTGATGCATCCAGAACCTAGACACCTTGTAGCGTATCCACATAAATGCACATATTGCACTTGAGATTAACCAGAACCTTCCGAAGTCCGGATTTCCAGGGCCCCAGCTTGTCTGCATACCAAGAATGGCAGCCAAGGCATTGGAAGGAAGCACAACAGTGGCTATGACAGTCAAGAATGATAGCCTATCATTCTGCTTGGCGGACTGCTCCCCCTTCCTAATTTGAATCATGGAGGTGACGAGGCCTAGAGTGTCGGATAACCGGGCTGCGTTATCCAGTATAGTGCTCCTGACCTGCTCGAAATCCCCTTCCATGTAGGCCCTTGCTTTCTCAGTTGTAGGTGAATATGTTGTTATCCAGGCGTGTGGCAAATACTTTCGGAAGAGTTGCGACTGTTCATCAACTAAACCCTGGTACTTACGAATCTGACGACGTAGAATAAATAGCTTCTTGAGGAAACTTTCCAGTATTATCATGCCGGGCTCATCGTTCTCAAGCCTCCATTCGAGGGTGTTAAGGTCCCGCTCAATGTAGGCGCTGGTGGAAATCCACTCAGATGCTATGATGCGAGCCACTGCTTGAGTTACAACGAGGGGATGAAAGTCACTCCCCTGAGCAAAATTATGCATTAAAATATGTGCGAGGGAGGCTCGGTAGTTGGATCTGGGTTCTTCATCCCTTCCCCTTACTTCGTTTGGTAACGGACGGCAGATGAAGGAACGGTACGCCGAGTCAGCTCTGGTGCCGTACATGTTTTCGCCATCTTCAGGTTCGAAAGGAGGGTCAATCAGTATGACTGCTGCATTTACGTTATCGACTGCTCCTTTTGTTTTCTTCCCTCTCTTATGTTGTCCGCTCAAGAATACTCTGCGGGGCATATCTTACCTTTCGTCCACTCCGAATGAGTAGAATCGTCAGGCTGTTTGAACCAGATAGAAGAGCAATGACGCGTCATTGCAACGTTGTCGAATTGTCGACCTCCTCTGCCTAGCTTTCTGGTTATGGGAACATGAAGCCCTGCAATTCGCTCAACGTTCAATTCCTTCATATCGGGCTTCATTCGCTCCAACACCTTGCAGGAATCTTCTCGTTTGTACTCTCTGGGGCCAACAAATCGAAATGACACATGATCATAACGAGTACTCATCGACTTCAAAATAGGCAGGCATCCCTCAACAGCCTGGTGGCGGTACCATGCCGTGGGAATCAGATCGGGCCTGGGTGGTGTTACCTCTTTCGTGATATCCATCTCGGACGGCACGGCATCAATATAGTCGAGGAAGAACTGGGGATCGACATTCCAAAGCCCGCCAAAGATACGGATTACCTTCGGAGTTATGTTTTCAACTATAAATATTTGGCGAGAGGAATCCATATCGACCTTGAGAGCGATTTCATGTTCCTTTATATCGGGGGTAAGAGTCAAATTACCAGACTTATCGAACGATATGAGTGATAATTTAGCGTCTCGGACATGGAATGGAATACCGTTTGGGCCCGGATAGCTGTCGAGATGCAGGAAAGTGTCGAGGACCTTATATCTCAGGAAGATTCTTGAAGTCTTCGCTTTCTCGGCAAGGGATGCAATGAAGTTGGCGTACTGATCTTCTGCCTTCTCGACCGCAACCTGCTCCACATTCACAACTGTTGCCATCTTGAGAGGGATACTATGACATGCGCCTTGCTTGATCAAGGTTCCTTGATTTCTTCACACGAATTTCGTACCATGGTGCTCCTGTGCCCACTCCCACGCATTTAAATACATAAAAGCTAAATTGCCTAGGTGTCAGCTGAGCCTACCACACACCAAAGCAGTGGTACTTCAGCCACTCGGGCGCAGTTGGGCATAACGCGGCTACCTAAAGATAGGATACCGATAAACACTGCTGGACCACCCGGAATGAACTCTACTACCGTCAAGGGGCGCGTATTGTACGTCTGACCTTAAATAATCCCAGCAATATAAGAGCTTCTTTTTTCACCCAACTTAGGTGTTATGTGTTGAGCATTTTGAATATATCTTGAGGCCTTCCTACAAAAAGCGAGAAAATAGGCAAAACACTTCCAGTCAAAACCTGCCAGAATCACAGAAGCGAAAAGAGGGCGTGAAGGCCACCGGGGAATCGGGGTATCATCCGATGCCAGGCCTGTTCCATTACTGCAAGCCATGGGGGAAACTATTGGCGTTAAATAACACCTTGTGGCCCCCAGTGGCTCAGACATGGACATGATAAAGCTTCTCCTGTCTCATTCTCATGCACTGCCTCCCCTCCGAGGCCGCCAGTGGCAGGCAACAGCAGGCAGTGCTAGGTCAGCTGTTGGTCGATTACTCATAGACCGAGTAAGTATGCCTAATGACTCTAAGTGATTAGTGGTGTTGCCTCGTAGGCGAGCTTGGGCATCCCTTCGTCTGTAATTTGGTGCTTAGACGACATGCTGTGCCTTGACTCTGCCATTAAGCCCCTGTGCTATTCTGGGTTCGAGCTGCAGTAATCCCTCATCACTTTAGCGCTCAGCCTCAGTTGAGGCCAAAGGCAGTGCACTGGGCGCTGCCAATCATCATGCAGGCATATCGACGGCGTCAGCAACTACCGAGCCAAGGCGGATTTCATACAGTAAGGCATTCTAGACCGGTGAAAGACCGATTTATTAATCAAATTTCTTACCTGCCCATACACTCGCGCTAAAACTTTTAATGTCTATATACAAATTCAGAGCGCCTGAACTCGAGGGGGAATGCCTCTGCGTTGGTCGTCATCGAATTCGCGATGTATAAGCGCCCTATCGCTAAAACAGCCTCCATAATAGTTCGGACCCAGACTCAAGCCTCATTTTCTCTTTTACCATTAAGCTTGCATTCTGCTTAACAATAGCTAGTCTCCTTTGCCTATCAAAACCAGATACACTGGATAACACCTGTCTACGGATTATATCTCTCTTTTGCCCGGTAAGGGAGGATATTCTACAATATCTGGTATCTTTCTCAAGTCATGTGCTGTCCCAGAACGTCATTTCGTTCGATATGGAGGCATTTCCGTGCTTTTCTGTTTGTGAATCTCCGACACGAAGGCCCAGATTCAGCCTTCTGCGCCAAGACCTGTAGAACGGAGATCTGAATCATGCCAGACGGACGGCCATAAGTGAGGTACTTTTCGTCTGGATGCCCTAAGTATCTCACCTGATATCCCTATTGTATATAGTGCAGCAGCAACTTTGTCCCAACCACCAGATCACGTTTCTATGGCCGCACCATTTGGTTAATTCAATTCCCTCGGAGAAACCGGACTGTGGGAAACCCGGGGCGAGAAATGCTTTATAGCGTCATTGGCTCCAAATAATCGTACTAATGTTGGTGTTGGTAGAGAGCCATGGTCACAAGTGGCTGTGCACCTGTTTCAGAGACGCCCTTGACCCTCTTGGTCCGGAGGTAAATGGCAAACTATTAGTAAAGCTTTAACAAAGCAATTTTAGCCATGCCGAGTTATGCTAGCCACGTGCATCTGGAGATCCATTCGCCTAGGCTAACTTCTTGAGAAGTGTCTGAGATGATTATGTATCCCAATATTACAAAACGAGCCAGACAGCCGCAAGGAATTGCATCAAATAAGCTTTCAAGAAACAATAGTAAGGCTTGTAGGTTGACTATCGTTGAACCCTATTCATCACTACGTTCATCTTATCGGATAGCCGACTTCCCACGTTTCCCTAGATTTCACAGCAAGCACAAAAGAGAATCAAGCAATCATTACTCCATGTAGGCCTCTAGTAACTTATGTTACATCAAATGCCGGTGGAAGGGCGGCCGAGCCAAGGGCAAAGTCCGAGAGTAGGAATACCGACAATGGACTCCATATAGATGTTGAGCGATGGCAAAAGTACTAAGCAGGGACAAGAGGACCAGATCAGGGTGGCGTGAGTTATATAAAGATCAACCCATGTAATGTCGTAATTGCCGAGCTCTTGTCAAGGAGGAGTCGTGTTGTATCTCACCGCATCCGGTCACTCTCCAGTTGAGCCGCCTAGCTCCTGGCCAGGATATAGCTTTCCAACTCAGTAGCTGCACATAGGCGCTGAGAGGGAGTCGTAAAATATGTGCAAGCAGAACGCAGTTAACGGTGGCTTGGTGGCGAGTGACCTTGCCGGGAACAGGAGGCTGAGAAGCGTAGTCACGGAGCCTTTCTAGACTTTTTGGCTGTGATTACACAGGTCACCAGTGACCATAATAAGCAATGATGTCTTGTTGAAGGTGTTTGTCAAGTCTTGCAACATTATCGCATGTTGACTAGGCACCCTAGTCATCGGATCCGAAACGATCAGTCTGGACGAAACTACTCTGCTATGGGCCGAGGTGTCATTTCCCAATTAACACAATCAATTTTTAGATGATCTCTTTTTCCGTTCCCACCTGAAGTACCCCGGTTGGCTGGCTAGGCTGGCTACACCAATTCGCCGATGCTACTGCATGTTGGTCGTCAACACATGCAAGAATGTGGCACAGACTTAGGATAGGGGAACCAGCAAATACTCCAAGGGCATCCCAATGACAGTGTTTGAAGCCTTGTTGAGAAGAGGCAATCTACAGTTTACCCGTACTGGTAAAATTCTAGCGGTGATAATGAATGAAAACGATTACGTTGAACTAGGGGCGGCTACTAACTATGATGCTCGATATTCATTGGTGTTCATTATCTGCTTGAAGGCCCCATTATTTTGAAACATCATTATCTTACTCCACAAACAAGCATATTTCGGCCAAGTGTTCTTGGGTTCTAGAGATCAAATTAAAAATTACTGAATAGGGAAGGTGTGTTGGTTGTTGCGTTTCAGCCTCCAGACAAAAGCAAGAAGGCAATTCGGCTAAAAAGAAATTGCTCGTTTAGATTTGGTATAAGAGGGAACTTGGTTCGAGAGCTGAATACCTAGTCATTTCATTGCCCCTCTGCCAAGTCCATTGCCACATTCTGTAGCATAGGTACTCTTTACGAAAATAACATGGAATCTGAACGCGACAGCACCCCGCCTATCAGGCGTAAGCCCATAAACACAGTCGATGCTGTTGCTTGGCCCACCACCGTTGAGTCTAGGTCAGTTGAACCTGCAAGTGAGCCGCTTCTATTGGACCAAAGAAACGACCCAAAAACTCCTACAAAAGCTTTCGACGGAAAACAATATGCCAGCGCGGTTGGTGTAGTACCCATCAACGACCAAATTCACAGGTCGACTTCGAACCAGGATAATTTTGCCGTTGGGGGTAACAGGACAGAGAAAGTCAGCCCGTGCGCGAAAACCACTGTTCTACGTAGGGTAAGTTGGGAAAACACCCTGCGGCGTATTATCGAGGGTTGGTGGCAGGAGATGCTTTGCTGTTTAGTCAGCGTCGTCGCTCTCATAACCCTGACAATGACCTTGAAGAAATTTAATAATCAGCCTCTGCCTGATTGGCCTTCCGGTATCACTTTGAATACAGTTCTAGCTTGCATAGCCACCATATGCAGGTCCGCATTACTCATTCCTGTAACAGAAGGTTTAGCACAAGCCAAGTGGATTTGGTTCAAGCAGCCACGACCGCTCAAGGACTTCGAAGCATTTGACAAGGCGTCAAGAGGCCTAGGTGGTAGCCTGAGCTTGCTCTCTCACACCAAAGGATGGTAAGCTCTGCCTCCTAGATACCCAAGTTCGCACGATTACTCACAAAAATAGGGTTGTTGGTATCATCGCTGCATTTCTATTGAGTACCACGATTGCCACCTCAACAATCACTCAATTTGCCGTCACATACCCGTCTAGATTTGACCAAGATGGAAGCAAGGGAAGTGCAGAGGCATGGAGGTTAGGGGAGAGCTGGGGGAAGGATGAGTCGAATTATGCTTTCAGTAAGTCACCGACTTCTGACTACTGGCTTCTAACGACGCATATGCTGCAACATTTGGTTGGTAAATGTCTGACAAATACGCATAGTGAACCAGCCAGCAATTGCAAGAGGTGTCAGGCGAGGAATCAATAATTTGGTGACCGAAACGATCCCCTTTAGAGAACCGAAGTGTGCCTCAGCCAACTGCAGATGGCCAGAATTCAGCACGCTTGCTATAGGTTACGAGGTTACGAGTACGTTATATATCACCCCTCCAAAACGGTTGCTCGTTGTGTCTAAGGTTTTCCCCAGATGTCACCCACCTGATTGAGGCGGATGTCAATTTCCATGATGGTAATCCTAATATCACTCTGCCGAATGGTGTCTGGACTGAACCGGGCAAAAGTCGTGCCAGATTCACTGGCGCCCCAACATTTTCCCTTGGCAGTGGGCCAACCCTGGTACATCAGCATCTGCAAGATGTATCAATTCTCCATTATTTTGCCATTTATTGGGATGGATCTAATCTCGTACCTCGGGCACTCGAGGTATCTCACTATTGGTGTATTGACACTTATCATCCTGAAGTAGTCGACAATGTCGTTCGGATGAACAAGTCGGCGTCTCAGATCCCAAAGTTACACGCATTGCAAGGGGATGATTATCGTGGATACGTGCATCTGGAACTACCAGGCAAAGACGACGTCACATGGACCATTGGTCGGCTAACTACGAGCACAATAGCAGCTCAGTTAAACGAATCGCTAAGTGGCTACACTGTCGTTCTGGCAGGGGAACCAAGACGTGATACATCAGGCAGTGACATCTTAGCACAAGCCACCAAAGAGGTTCTACAAAAGCTTGCAAAGGGCAATTCCACGCTTGAAATTCAGGAGGCAGAGAGAGCTTGGTGGACTGCCCTGGAGGGCATGGCGGCGAACGTGGCTAACAGTCTCACAAACACGTAAGTTCATCTACTTCTTTATCTGCTGCGCTATATCCTAATACCGGCTCGAACAGACTCCTTCCTGATCAGTCCAACGTCGATGGTGTTTCATTAAACTCGGAGGTATACGTCCAGGTTAGGTGGGAATGGTTGGCACTTCTAAGTGTGCAGGTTACGCTCTCTATCTCTCTTCTGATATGCATTATCGTTGAGTCAGCGAAAGCAGAGGTTGAAATTATGAAAGGCTCGACAGTGCCAGTATTGTTTGCCATCAGTGCAGTAGACAAGGCTAGGATGGAAAATGGGGACATCGATTTGGATTCACTGAGACAGATGAAGAATTATCAGCAGCTGGCTCACATTAACCTACACAAGGTCGGTCAAAAGTGGGTCTTGCAATAGAAATAGCTCCAGTCAGACTATTCTGATGATTCAGCATCATAATTCATCTGGTGGTTATCAATATGTCTAAATCCAGGTTGGCCGACACCACGGGTCGAGTCGAAGTTTACACCTCTGAACTTAACCATCACGGGGGCTCCATGCTTAAAAGAGCTCCGTCTACAGTTTTATGTGTTCTAGTTTCTTCAGGTTTATTGGTTTGAGCTCTAGACCAAGCAATCAGGGTGTAACCATATTTCGTAAGCAGCCATCATGCTTTGGTCTCGACACAGAGTTAGATGCTTTCTTTTCCTGTGTTCTTTTTAGCTAAAGTTAAGCCAGAATGACTCAATGGGGAGATTAAACAATTAACTGCTTTATTCTCTATCGGTTTTTATATATATCGCTAGATGCATCGTTGTGGTTAAATTTTGAAAAAAATATAATGCCTCTGTTAATTGCCTGCGCGAATTCCACCAAAACCCCCAAGGACCCAAGCCTGGGGGAAGCCCGATTCACATGTCATATATATGTATATGGTGCTGCATAGAAATGGAAAGATGTCATTCGTACACGGGCCCAATTTATTGTATTTCGTCGAAATACCACGATGACTGCGTACAGTAGTAGGCTAAATGCAATAGTAAGCTGACGGCGCCGATGCCAGTAAGAATCCTTCAAATCCTGTCAGCTTACTTGCTAAAAGAATAGTATAAAGGCACCTGACTCTCAGCTCTAGCCAGATAAAAATCTCACATTAAGTTGCTAGTAGTTACTGGCAACTGGTAACATGTCGTCTTCATCACAGCTTAATGCCGAGCAGGCGCAAGTCTTGGATATCGTCCGTGGCTTTCACGACTATTTCAGTTCCCCGCCCCCATTCAAAGAAGGACAACGTTTCGCCCTGCCGCATGGTCTAATCACAGTTCCTTTCCCACCAGAGATGGGTGGTCTCAAGACAGAACGCTTTGACGACATGTATGAGCGCGTTAGTGGATTGCTCGCCAAACAACAAGAGTCCGGACCAACAGGCTTTAAGCATCAATTGGCAGAACCACGGGCGGATGTATGGGTCTCTCAAAACATAGCTGCTGTGTTCGTGGGTTGGTCAGCCTCCATGGATGGCCGTGGCGAGTTCATCCATACTGTTCACCTCTGCACCTTGCACCATAAATCTGACGACATCCTGAGCGACGGAAACCCATGGCGTATTTCAGCACTTGTTGATATGAAGCATCTGTCACCTGAGCAGCCGGTGCCGTCAGTCGAGACGGGTCCAGTGTCAGAAATCATCGCTCCATTCCAAGACTTTCTCGACAGCATCAAAACTCAAGACTGGGAGGCCATTCCCGCCCTGCTGTTACCTGGTTCGGGGGCTACGATATCGAAAGATGGTCATACACCGAAGATGTTCATGTAGCCGGAACTCATTGAGCGCTTACGGCAACAAGCTCAGAATGGACCTACAATTGAGAAGCGGCTTCTTAACTGCGAGGCACGGCGTTGTAGTGATCTGGGCTTCGTTTGGGCACCGTTCGTGCTTCAGGATGGCAGTATTGAAATTTCCCATGGAGTCAGTGTCTGCTCCTTTAGGTTGGAGGGCGGACGGTGGCTTATCAGTAGTCTTTGCGAAACGCACGATACTAAGTGAATGCATAGTTACAGTCAGAGCCTGTCAACTAGTCTTCAATGATGCATGAACTCATAAAAGGGGTTTCTTTATTGCATCAGTCTCTCACAGTACACAATTTCCCAGTGAAGCGATGCGGTCGGCATCATGGATGAAGCCGCGCAGAGGCAGTCAAGATTCGCAACTGACGAACCCCATGTCATTTGTAGACCAACACCATCAACTCATACTTGAGCAAATCGTGGGAGGAGCTAATGAAAGCTCTGATGAGGCGAACTGGAGAGTATTCAGTCCTTATACAGAAGTCCCGAAATTGCAGTTCCAGCGATCCGCCGTCCGTCGTTCCATCCACCTTCCGTAACGTTACTTTTCTAACTAACGGTCTATTTAAAACTGGGGAGTTTAGTCATGCTGCAAGATGTCTCTTTCGAGTCAGTCTCATTCGTCATCTGATGCCTATCAACATTTCCAAGTGTAGGCTGACCGATAGTCAGGTCGATACCTGCGTCTCTGAAGCTTGGAAGTGCTCTGTCTTCTAGTTCTCTACGTTCTAGTCTCTTCAGATTTACGGTCTCTAGGATCCCAGTCACAGCGCCCGAAAGCCTTCATCGATCTCAAAGACATTTCTGTCGCTTGCTAGCGTTTTCATCATCTTCAACATGACCCAGAAGTCTCAGAGCCTCTTTCGCCGTAAGTCTTGATTGGCGTTGTGTCGACGTCTCAGCATATGGATGCCGCACCATGCCAATAATGGCGTTCCTCAAAGCTAGCAAAAAGGTTAGCACAACTCTGCCACAACGGAAATAAGGTCGGACCCTTATCATGAAGCCTGTTTAAAGCATGAATAGCTTCTCCATACATGTCGTGAAACTCTTTCTGCAACTCACCAGCCTCAGAGCCAGGCCTCCATGGATTCTTGCCCTGTCGCCACGGATGTCGCCCCGAAATCATCTCAATGGCCATTACGCCGATACTCCAGATATCAGCCAGCTCGTTGTACCCTGTCATCTCTCGCTCAGGTGCTAGCCACCCGATCGTTCCGCCAGTTCCAGGCCGAGCAGGGTGATGTCTACCTGGAAAGGGGCTTTCCTCTGCATCGTCGAGATCTAGCAGCACCACAGATATGCTCTCGCTGGTCCAAGTACGGATGCCAATGTTGCCGGGTTTGAGATCTCCATGTATCCAGCGGTGTTTGTGCAGGAAGTTTGTGGCGCCAAGGATGTCTATCAGAACGGTTGTGACGATGGATATCCTGGTTGGTAAGCTCGTGCGGCGACGTTGTACTGTCAGCGATGATCTCACCTTTCTTGACCTTGTTTGAAGAACCCCCTTGTGAGTGCGGTGGAAAGTATGTCCTGAGCAGCTGGTTCTTGAACGAACCAAACGTCCGCTATCCTATTAGATGATCTCACATCATCCGTGATAACTTCGATAAGTCGCAGCAGACGGCTTTCGTTCTTCCTCTGGCATAATGTAGCCAGTGTCTCCAGCTTCGCTTGGACTTTCCGTGTGCGCTCCCTATCTCTCCCAACCTGCACTCTCTTTAAAGCAACACGTTGGCCATGGTCATTTGAAGCGATGCTGACCATTCCGGATGCTCCTTTGCCTACAGTGCCTGCGCTGATAGTCCACTGTCCGATGACAATGGGACTGCTTTCAGATGGTGTTGGTGTCAGTGATAGCTCCAGCAGAGTCTTAGAAATATTGAGGTGCTCGTCCAAGTAACGCTTGACTCTGCTGGGGTAGTCGTCGGCGTAAGACCCTCGAGCATACTGGATGCGGTAGCAGAGGGAGCCGAATGCCAGGCTAGCGGATGAGTGGTTGAAAACTCGTTTCCTGGTGATCTTATCTCCGTTGACCAAGGTGATAGATCTATCAGTCATTGGCTGCACATATATGAAACTTATTTCATCAATTTGGAGAATAGCCTGATTGCGTCGGACTTTGTACAGCTTTTCATTAGCCGAACGTAAACAAAGGACGACATCGTTCAAATGAGGCCCATTTCTCAAGGAACCAACTACCCATCCTCTTGACGGATTTCGAGGGGGTTGATCGAGCGATATGAAGTAATGGCCTTTCCAGATTCTAGACTGCTCTTGATGCTTCTCCTCTTTCTTGTCTGTGCGAAATGATGATTTTGGGTCCCGTGGTGACGAAATTGGTGATGACGATGACAGGTTTTCCGATGCTGGCCTAAGTAATCGACCAACTTCATGGTCATTTTGTTGCTTTGAGGAAATCCACATGCATTTTCGTGTGTGTTGTCGTGCAGCTTGGACATCAGGATCCTCGCTCTGTTCTTGTAGCCACTCGGCAACTTCACTAAATGCCAGCCGCGCCTCAGCGTTATCTGGTGTAAGAATAATACTAGCCCCTTCCGCTGAAGAGCCTGGTAAAGTAGGGTCTTCGGCCGTCTCTTGGCTACTTGGGATATCTGATATATCCATAATTCTGGGTTGTCCATATGAGCTTGAGTTAGAAATAAACAGTTGCTGGAGGGGTAAAATGATTCTGGGTCTGGCGAGTGCAGGGTAAGTTACTAAGCTGGGGTTAAGATCTGAAGATCAAAGAAGTGACCAATGACGTGCTGGTATGGGCAAGGCGTGATCAACGGGCGATTATTCTTCCGCCATCGACGCGTCAATTTGGCGTCAGGCCAGTCGCTTCTCACCTCAACACCATCCATCAATCAGCGCCGCAAATGTTTCCAGGACAGAGAAAACGCGGCTGGCGACAATGCCTGGCCGATAGCTATGAAAAAAACCACGGGGTAAGTATATTAGCATATTAAATGATGGTTCGAGCTGTACTGATTCTATCGCAAGCCTCTCGAGGACCCAGTCCCGACCTTCGGCGCCAAATTGGTGACATTTCCATCGACGCCTACTCTACCCATGTGCTTCGCCACACCTGACCCCGATTTCCTCGAGGAACTTGATCGACGTCTCTGCGCTATCGAAGCCGACCCAGTGCCCAAGTGCCTGCAGCCCCTGTGTTTCGATGAACCTGTGGTCGAGTTGAGCTGCTCCGACAACGACACCGAGGATGAAGGCTGCGAAAAAATGCGAGAATCGATGCGCCAGGCTACGATTCGCGTATATGCGAGTGCCGGAATAGATTTTGTTGCTGTTGAAGCTAAGCGAGAGGCGCGAAGGATTGCGAGGGAGAAGAGACGCAAAGCCAGGGCAGCCGAATCGAACAGTACCAAGTCTGTGCTTCTACCATCGAACGATCATGCTACCAAGCCCTCTAGCAATGCTACTGAAGCAGACACGGCTGAGAATCAGGCCATGCACAAGAAGCGAAAGCACCAAACTGAGGACGAGGAAGATCAGCCTCGTCGCAAGGTCGCCAAACCCAGCGACACAACCAGGGCTCGACCAAATCGACGAACTCGCCCATCGTTGAAGCCGCAAGCTTCATATAGTCCTCCACAAACACCTTCACCAACCGAGAGAGAACATGCACAAGGACAAGCTGGCTCGGCGTCATCTCCCGAGTCTCTCATCGTGCAACAGCCAACACCCGAGCTCGACAGCTACTCGAAGCTCGGGAGGGGCCAGGAATCTCCGACTGCAGGAGCGGAATTGTCACCAGGATGAGCGTTATCGGGCGTATGAGATCTAATTTTAAGAGTTGAGTATAATGCGGCGGCGCACTCCGACTTCTCCCCATGGGTTCAATACTGAACCTAGAGCTATTATTGCCCTCCAGCCCGACCATCAACATGAGCGGATTAAGCTATACAGCTATACATAGAGCTTCGCTACCGCCTGATCGCCTCGCTCGAGCCTGCGCGTGAAGAAATTGAGTCTTTTCGTCTCGGTTACTCGTGCGGTTGGCCATTTGGAGACCCTGCGAAGAACGTCACACCAGTCAATGGGGGCAATTGTCGCGTCCCGATGAGGACGCAAAGATCTTGTAGCTGCCCGTTTAGTGTTAGAAACGCCATGCTGTCGCTAAACAGAGATGTCATGCTGGTAAGAACGCTCTTGATGAGGAGTACTAGGAAGCTTCGTTACAAGGAGGATTATGTTGTATTAGGCACTAAGGCATTGAGGTGGCCTGCGTGGAAATATAGAGTCATAAATTATTTGCTTAACGCCCAAGCTCAATTGCTCGTTTCTGCTCCCTGTTCTATTCCCGTGTTGGATTAATTACACTTCTAATGCATCTCGAGGTGCTTGATCAGCTTGTGACCCACTTTCTACTCCCATTCAACTGACTCTCATTGACTACCAAAGATTGAGTGAATCTTGAGATACCATGCTGCGACTGATTGATTAATGGCTAAAAGATTATGACATCTCCACGAGACATCAATCCAGCAAATTGATAAATACCGGTTATTTTGGATGGCCTGTTATAACCCACCACCGCACATAATTAGCAGAGAAATTGACGTGAGGAATGTGCTTATGGGCGTATTTCTACTCGCCGAGCTTCTTTTCTTCCGCCAACCACTGCATTTGCATTTCAGCGGCTCATCTCACCTATAGTCTACTGTAACCTCAGTCTCGCCTGCAGGCCTCAACCCTTTGTGAATGAAGCCTGAATGTTGGCACTTGACCCTATCTACGCCGGTAATGTTCCCCTCATTCCGTGAACCATTTCCACGCTGGAGGTTCTAATTTCAGTTTGTGATAAAGGGTCTATATGGTACAGAAATATGCTATAAATAACTTATACCAGTTGTGTGGGGATCCAGCACAGATAACTGGATGGGGTAACTCCACACCACCAATAGAGCGCCGGACACTTCTCCCGACCAGAAAAACCCGACCAGAAAAACCAGTAACCTTTTCATCCTGGCTCGTCCAGTTGCTTCACGCGTGCTAGACCTTTCCTTGTTGCTGCGTCCATTACACCTCTGGACCTCCTCCGTTGCTCCAGTTTCTTATCAGGCGGGTGACACGACCTGGCATGGCATGCATTGCTGCCTACTATGTCATGAGCCGTAGGAGAAAACGACACGCCAACATGCTGTCTTTCCATATGGTTTTGTAACCAATCAGAAATTCAGCGAAAAAAAACTTCTGATATAACCAAAGTTAGGACACCAACTAAGGGGAAAAACAAAAGATGACCCCTCGGTGGGGGAAATGGCAGCGAATCTTGGTGTATTGAGGTCGTTTGATTTAGTTCCCCAAGGACTCAGTTCCAGCTTCCTACGTTTTTGGTTATCATCACACGGAGTACTCTCCTCTTCTCTCTGATCATAAATGCTCTAGCAATGCTAAATGGGATGACTGCATATGCAGGCTAGCAATCGACCCTATCAGAAGAAGTTCAACTCGCTATCTGCTGCTCGCAGTCCATGCCCTTTGTAGAGTTCATTTGCCACATCAGCATAGACCGGGGTGTTAGGAGGCCTCATTCCCAAGACACAGGCACTCACAGGTGCAGAAATTAGAGAGCGATAACGAGATATGGCGCGTGGGGCAAGCATCAGGTGCCGCATAGACTCAAGTAACAGTCAATTGAGAAAGCATTAGGAAGCTGAGAAGTGCGATGCTCAGCTAATTCCGTCGAGGTGAGCCCAAGAATGAATCTTCAATCGACATCACACTGGTATCGTGCAAAGCGTGGAGTAGCCACAACGAACATTCCAGCTTTGGTTGAAAGAGCCTCAATTAAGGTGAAGGTCAAATTGAACCAGCCAATTATGCAGTCGGCTTGATCTAACCAATCAAGGAGAACATCACAGAGTAACGCCTTGACGGTTGAAGCCAGAATCATGTTAGTATTGCCGTATTTGGAACTTGGGTCCATTTTAGAGGGTAAATCGTATTAGAAGTTGACCACTGAATGATGGGGCTCTATGGAAGGGCCACAAATTCCAATTTCGGAGCAAATGAGATATACCAAACCAGGGGCAGGGTATGAAAGAGGCTGCATCAGTTACTTATCTACCTCTGCTGGGTGATGGTTTACAAATAATGATACACCAAGAAGGTTAGTAGTAAGAATGACTCTTAGGTAAGTCCGCTATACTCTGCTAGGCATTTGATAGCATGGATCTATACACATAGAAAGGAACTTTAGAGATAATTCTTCAGAAAGTAAGTGGTTATCATAAGAAAGTAAAAAACGCATTTGCATACGTAAGTGAATTAACCACAGGCGATTGATCGACATGGAAAAGACAAGTCGCCAGAGCATGGACACAGGAAATAAGGTGGAGAGAAAGAGAGAGGGGTGCACGACAACTAAGAATAGAAGAGGATGTTTACAGCTGAAAGCAAGCGGGTGCAATTTGATATGAGCTAGTCTGGTTTTATCTTTTTACACACAGCGTCGCGCGTCTGCAGGACAAGGGGGAGAAGATCTTAGCGTCTTGGTATGTGTTGTCTCCCTGTGGTGGGCCTCCTGGTGGGCCTCCTGGGATAAATGCTATCCCCTCCTCCCTGAATTGCATCTACCCGTCATTCGCTTACAACTTTAGAAATCGCCACTTCTCGTACATTTATTAATTGTAGAGAAAGAAATACCAAGCTGCAACAGCTGAAGGTATCCTCATGGCTTCAACAGATAAGAAGCCATCCGAGGAGGCGCTTTTGAACTGGTACAAAGGCTTACAGCCGCTCACAGTCGATATTGTGGGAGACTTTGCAGGCCGAGAGCTATTCCTAATCCATGGAGAGGCTTTGATGCAGTATTGCCTCATCGAGGCCAGAGTTGATTTTGACAGTAAGTCCTTCCATTTCGCTGGAGTTTGTGAGATAGCGCCTGACAAACCATTGTAGAAGGCTTCCAGTTGTTGCACGCCATTCAAGCCGTGGAGAAGTTCCTCGTAAATCTAAAGAATGGGGACTGCAACTTTGATATAGTGTTCTTTCGTGACTTTGAAAATGTCTGCGCGTCTGAGGGTAGCGCCGGCTCGAAACATCCTTACAAGTACAAGCTTACACGCCGGATTCTCATCCAGCACCTTACCCGAGGCATCGCCGACTTCGAGATCCTGGAATTTGATTCCTTTGACAGTCAAGAGTGTAGAGCGTATCTCGCTAACAATGCAGTACATTTCATGCTCTGTGATGATGGAAGGGGAGTCAGCCTAGACCAGTCTGTTCGCCTTCGACATCTTATATGGAAAGTCATAAGCAGCGGGAGAAATGTGGCCCTCATCAACTCGATTTCATGGAAGAGTTCAAAAGTAAGCCCGATTGACTTGAATCCTAAGGTTGTGTCAATGCTAATGGGTTCAGATTTTCATGCCTCTCCTGAGTGGTTCGAAGGGTATGCTGCCAGATCTCTATATCGACACTCCCACGTGTGAGACGAAGCCATCGGCGGACTTGTCCCAGAAAGTACTTGACGAGACGCTGAGACTCTCAATTGAAAGCTCGGACCTTTCAGCAAGAGAAAAGTTCGCTGCCGTCTTTTGCCGCGTTTTCCTTGAACAATCCTCGAAGGAAGGTGAGATATCTGGCGTTGACCTCGAGCT